TGTAATGCGTCTATCTCATATATTGGTTTCACCTTTTGAGTTGCCGTACTGACATAAATGAGCATTTGCACGATATTCTAATTTTTCGAGTTTCACCTGTACATATACTACCAATTCCTATTGATAAAATTAGCTGCCACTTAAGGCTGTATATCAGGTTGTGCTTTAGAATGACTAGTATAGTACTTCTACAGAAAATCCAGCTGAAGTAAATATGCTTGAAGACAAAGTGGGACACACAAGGAAGGCACCATAGTTTTCTAAAAAAAAAAAAAAAAAAAGTGCAGCAATAATGTAAAGGCTGGCATGGATCTTACTGATAACACTCTCCTTTACATGTTGTCACTTTCAACTAAATCACATACATTGTGCTTGATCAAGACAAGGAAAGTAGTCTTCAGTCTTGAAGAGATCCATAGGCTCATACAGGGCTTGATTCTGCCTTGATGAAGATGATTTCTGCAATGAAAATCTACATATCAAAATACTTGTATACCTGATTTTTTTAGAACCCACAACTTTAATAGTTTTGAAAAAAATATCCCTCTTAAGTTTGTGTGTCTTCCATGAAATATACTGAGCAGATTTTGAAAATATTGAAACAGTCCTACATTTAGGTTTCTGTGTGCATGAAGGGATTCCTTGACAGGATCTAGAAGGGAAGTCAGAAATTCATCCACTATTTATTTTGCATGGAAAGTCTTATCTGCTAGGGTTGTGGAGTTTTACAATGTGCAGAGCACAAATGAAAAAACTCTCTTTGAATCATTAAACAAGCTGTGCTTTTTGCAAGGCTTGCAAAGATGCCTCAGACATTTTTGCAGCTTTCTTTATGTATGCTAAGTTACTTCACTTGAAAAAGTGAGTTCAGCCATTTCTTTCATATTGCCCCATTCCCCCATCCCAAATACAGGCTCAGGAGATGCATGACAAATAGGGACAAAATGGGTGCAGAAGCTAAGTTTGCCTTCCCAGGTCCCTGTTGGCTCTTGCCTTCACTGTAAATAATGACAGCAATAACTGCTTTGTGACAGTAGTGGCACCCCCCTCACCCCAGTGACTGGCTTTAAGCCTCACTACTCCTAATTTAATTGGGGCTGGCCTTTACTTATTTATCTTTTGGTGGATAACCAGGTCAATCAATCTGCCATGCAAACACACTCAATATGCACAGATAATTCCAATGCTGTTGTTTTGCTGAACAAGTGCAAAGGAAAAAATTCTGAACAAAACAGGCATGTGTAAGCCAATATCTATAAAAGGTTCTAATATTTCAAGATGAGGAACCTTTCTATCCTTGTTTCCTTTTATTTTGGTGACTCCCAAATCAGTGAGCGGATTTTTGTCCTCCAAAAATTTATTTCAGGCAAACACTTTTATACAGCTTTTCTAAACACACGTAAGCCATGCAGAAAGGAAATTGATAGTAGCTGAGCAAGATAGCTCATTCCACCGCAACTCCATCCTCTTCTACATGCTGAAGGTAACCGATTCCTAATTTGAATCTCTATAGCAGAGACAAGGAACTGTTGCCATCTAGATGCTTTTAGAAAATTCAAAAAGCTTAAATTTAAGATTTCTATAATCTACTTCATAAACTAATCTCAATTGATATCTCACATCTGTTCATCCTTAATGAAGAAAACTTACATTTAAAAAAGATGGCACGTTGATTGTGTACAATAATTTTTTTAACGTATTTGGGAAAGTTCCAAGGTCTGATTCTGCCTTTATGATCTGTTCCTCCATTCCAGCCACATTATCACCAATCATTTTTACAAAAGCCTGGTTTAAAAGAAAAGGGGAAAAAATAACAGTAGCAACAACCATTCCAACAGAACATTAACTAAGAGTGGTTCAATTTCCTACCCTTGAGTTAGAGTACTGAACTAAGCCTGGAAAGAGCCAAACTGTTCTTACTCTACAATAAAATCACTGACTGAGTAGGTCAACTCTTCTCATCCTAGTCTACTTCACAGAATTGTTGTAAGAATAAAAAAGGGAAGAGAAAAACAAATAATCCTGAAATAATAAATATCAAGACCTATAATCCAATTTACTTTGCTAAACTAAATGTAAGTATATAATTAGATGAGATAGCAGCAAGAACATGAATGGTAGGGTCAAGAACCATGATATTTGGAAGTTACAATTAGTTTAGAAATATGAATGCATGATGCAACATTACACAAATAAACCAAAAAGGAACTTGAAAACCACATGATTGTATTTTAAACTTCTGAACTAATCTGAAATCAGGTGACTCAATAAAGAATGGAGATGTATGTGTATATGACAAGTTCATAAGAATCAAATAGTGATTCACTATATAGATTTGTAATACAAAAATGCATTTCTGTCCCAGGAACCTAGAAATTAGAAGGCAATAATAATATAATTAAACTTGTATGCCACCTGATTCCCAATGACTTTGGGCAGAACAGCAACTTTAAAATAAATTTCCCCTTATTATCTTTAAAATTTATCTAAGATACATGTGTTCATGAAAACATATTGGGAAAGCAGTATGCACAGAAACATCTTGTCCTTTCAATCACGATTTCTTGCTGGAAAGATGTTCTACATAGATTATGGAATTAAGGATCTGCAAAGAATCATTACACTGAGTTACCTCTTGCTACACGGAAAACATTACAAGACCTAACCCCCCAAAGGAAAATAAAACAGTAATTTCTATTAGCTTTGTAAAGAGAACTATAATATTGACATTAGAAACACATACCTCTAATTTGTCAATCTTTCTATAAAGCTTCTTCATTTCCATTGCCTTTGCATGAATATGTGGCACACTTTCATTAATTACTTGAGAAGAATCACTTCTAATCTAAAAGGAAAAAACCCAAAATATATACTTAACTGGAACCAACTTGGAGCAGTAAGCTTTGACAAAATCTAGCCAATACATTTAAAATGCTATACAAACTGAGTTATCATCCAAATGAATGCATACAACCCTAGAGACTGATTTAACACCAGACTTCACTTAGATCTCTAAATGCTTCTACTGTAGTTCTGATAAAAGCAGATTTCAAGAGTTTACTACATGCTGCAGATGTGGAAAGCAAGTTACAACATCACAGACAAGTCAGAATTGAACACCAGTATCTTTTATTGTTATAATGACAAACATTTACCTTGTTAGTGTCAAACAGAATGTTTAAAATTCTAACTTCTTGAAGGATTTATTGTATTCCTCAAGTAGCACTAGAAGCCTTATTTGAGAAGACTACTTGCTCAGAGGCTGGTCAGGGATCTGACAGGAATCCAACACATATTCCAGCATTTCAAACCATATGTAAAAAAGCATATCTGAAGTCGTTTGATTCCAATCACCAGGTTGCTTTCAACATCAACAGAGACTTCTAACACAACTCACGTGTTTTTAAGTAGCATACTCACCATGTCCAACATTCCCACAAACTCATCTACCCTGATCAACAAATCTTCAAGACTCTTGTCTAAAGCTTCAATCTGCAAAAACAAGGCAAAATAAATAATTCAAAAGTATCAGCGAAACGGCAAGCGCAGGCGGGGGAGCCCAGACCTCAGAATAACCCTCCCCGCACCAGGGAAAAAGATCAGGCGGCAGCAAGACTCGGAGGCCACCGGCTGCGGAACGCCCCGCGGTTGACTGTGACTTCCCGCTGGCATTACCTTGGCTCGCCTGGGATTTAAAGCAATTTGCTATGAAGTCCAACCACTGCTGCTGAAAATGAATGGCGACTACAGCACCGCTAGGATGCCTCACAGAATGACATGGGGAATTCAGACACGCTGTCGCCCCAACGATTGTCGTCTGAAGGAGTACGCTATGCAGGGTGAGGAAGGAAGAGGGCACAGGGCGACGTGAGAGGCTTAAGCGGGCTGGCGTTCAAAGCGGGCCCGCCCAGAAAAGGCACCACCCGTTCATTCACTCGCCTGCCCGGCTGAGGCGACGCTGTCCATCGGCGCGGGGAGCAGGTAGGAGGCGTAGTCAGCCGCCGCCGCGGCCAGTAGAAACTCCCCGCCCAAGGTTTCTCCTCCCGCCGCGTCCTCCTCTCCGATGCCGGAGGCACTGCTGTGACTCTGAGAGACGTGGCCGCTATCACCGCTGGAGGAGGAGGAAGAGTGGGGCAGCAGCGGCGGCTCCTCCGGGGCGATGGCTGCAGGGGCTTCTGCCGCCTGCTCCATCTCCCCCGCGTCTTCCGGACAGTGCCCAACCCGGAATCAACCGCCTGTCACCTGATTCGGGGCGTTTTAAATCCGAGGCCTTCCAACTGACAGCTTAATTGCTCCCCCTCCCCCGCTACGGAAGCTCAGCAAGGACAACGTGAACGCCGGGGTTAGTTGCTCCCACTTAATTCACGTTCTACTTAGAGGGCGGAGCGAATACGAGTGTTTTGGGGATGAAGCACATTCTTCGGTCACGTGGGAGAGATCCTACCGCAGGCGTCATTCCCAGGCGTGTTTCTTCTTTTCCCTCCCTGTTTTACTCCAAATGTGGAGTTTTCCATTTAGTTTACAGAATAGAGCAGTGTTTCTCAATCTCATTGGCTTTAAGATGTGTGGACTTCAACTCCCAGAATTCCCCCAACCAGCTTAACGCCAGTGAGGTTGAGAAACAGTTACAGGGAAAAAAGTAAGGGATGGTTTTCATCTTCCTTTCCTGCCGACTTCCCAGCCTTGTAGATTCAGGAATCTATTTATAGATGAAAACAGTTATTTAAACTTGATCCACCCAGAGTATTTTGTGGCCTGCTGTTTTGTCTCAGCAGAAGGCAGCAGGAACTGGCTGATCTTGAGTTGGCCTGCTCAGGATTTGGACACCCAAGCTATAGGCTAGATGGGGAAACTAAAAAAAGTCTCAGAAGAAGCCAATAGACTTGCATGTACCCAGTCTTTAAAATATGTCATTTTTATTAATTTCTTGGGGAGATACTGGAATGCTTATCGAGGCAGCAAGTGAAACAAAATTAGGTGGGATAGCTAACACTCTGAACAAAATCAAAACTATCAGAAATTATCATAAATGGCTTGACAATACCATGAAACATATGGAAAGTTATGCATTTAGCAAATAAAAATGAATTGTACAAATATAGTATACTGAAATACTGTACAGTAGAGATGCCAACATCCAAGATGCTTTAGAAGATATTCCCTACTTACAAAAACCTCTAGTACTAGAAGATAAAGTTAGATCAACACTCTGGTCAATACCAAGTGGAAAGGCTACAGGAACTGATGGAATACCTACAGAAATACTGTATAGCAAGCAACAGAATAAAAATCAGTAGAAGTTCTAAGTAAGATCTGTCAGAAAATTTGGACAACATAGTGGCCAACCAATTGGAAGAGGTCAATCTACATTCCAATCCCCCAAAAAGATGTAACGAAGTTTGCTATCATATAATATCCTTAATTTCACATTAGCAAAATAATGCTTAGGATCATCCAACACAGATTACAGCCCTACATGGAAAAAAATGCCAGATGTTCAAGCTGGCTTTAGAAAAGGCTTGAGGAATAAGATACATCACTGCTGATGCATGCTGGATAATTGAGAAAGCCAAATACCAAAAATACTATGTGCTTCATTGATTATAGAAAGGCCTTCATTTGTGTTGATCAGGTGGAACTGGCTCAGAAAAACAGGAATCCTAGAGCATCTCATTGTCCTCATGAGAAACATAGATATATATAGGTCAGGAAGCCACAGTACGGACAGAACATGGGCTCCAGATTGGCAAAGGAGTGCAACAAGGCAGTACCCTCTCCCCTTATTCAATCTATGTGCCAAATATATATTAAGGGAAGCTGGATTGGAAGATGAGCGCAATTTTAAAATTGGAGAAAGAAACGTAAATAACCTGTGCTGTGCTGATGACACTACCCTGATAGCCTAAAATGCAAAGGATCTGCAAGCTCTAGTGATAAACATCAAGGAGCACAGTGAAAAAAATGGGACTAAAATTAAATATAAAGAAGACCAAGCTGCTGACAACAGGTAGAACCAGCCTTAGAACTGACAATGAAGATATCAAAGTGGTAGATATTTTCTGTTGTTTAGGATCAGCCATCAACAAAGGAACACGCTGCAGTCTAGTACTTGGTAGGGCAGCCATGAAGGCCTTAGAAAAGATATTCAAATACTGTGATGTGACTATACCTGCAAAGATCAAAATAGTGCAAGCCAAAGTATTCCTTATGATATTCAATGGAAGTAAAAGTTGGACTCTGAAGAAGTAGAATAGGAAGAGCATTGATGCTTTTGAACTTTGGTGTTGGAGAAGATTCCTGAGAATACTGTGGACAGCCAAGAAAAAAAAATGGATCTTTGAACAAATCAACCCAGAGTTCTCACTAGAGGCACAAATGACCAAGCTCAAATTATCCTCCTTGGGACACAACATGTGAAGACCTAGCTTTCTGGAGAAGGCTCTAATGCTGAGAAAGGTAGAAAGAAAGAGGATGACCAGCAGCAAGGTGGATGGATTCAGTTACAGTGGTGATGAATGCACCATTGAAAGACCAGGTTAGGGACAAATTGTCATGGAGAAAATGTATGTGGTTGTTAAGAGTTGACAACAATATGATGGCACATAATCAAATGAGTAAGTAGAATACACAAACGAGAAGGGTCTGTTATAAAAGTCTTGAAAGTTCTGCATTAACCCTTTGACTTTTTGTTTTAGTGTGACTTATACTTCATTGCCTAAAGTATCTGTTCACTGCCTTGAATTCACTGTATGACAGGACTACATTGTGAGGACACACGACTGCAAAAAGTTGCTTTGAAGGTAAAGTTGTGTATATGTGTATGTATAAATGACTCACGGGACTGTGCAAATCCTTTGAAAGGTTGCTCTGAAATGCACAAGAATGCTGTGAAGCACCTCTATTTTCAATCACTTACACAGCTATTTTTCCCAGGCATACATGATTGCCTCACTTTTGCTAGTGAAGTGGCTGTGCATGCACCGATGGATGTGAAAACAACTGGCAACAAATTCCAAAGCAGCCATGTGAGCTTGGAAGAAGTGCAGCTTCTTTAATCTCTCAGGGTGAAAAGATAATAAAGATGCCTGTGATTCTTATAGTTCATTGCTGAACTGTAGCTGTGAAAATGTGCTTGGTTCCTCTGTTACAGCCATATAGATTGCAATTTAATTAGAATAAAAACAAGATAGTAGTCTTAAGCAATCTTACTGATTAAGTAAATCCTGTCAAAAACAGTGGGCCTAATGTCTGAGCAAATAGGCATAGGACTGGGGTGTTATAATGGGTTGGACTTGCAAAATCTGACAAATCTATTCTGAGTGCCTCTCTTACAGACTAGCCAGTCTGGTTCAAATCAATAGAGTACATGAAACAGGAGAAGAATTCCCCCTTCATTCTCCTGTTCCTCTGTGAATGTGATTCCCTCCCCAAAGATAAATACTTAAGTTGTACTTAATTCCTGATGACTACACGTCAAAACAATATAACCTTCATCTCAAATGACCACGAATGTTCCATGGACATCAACACAATAACTTATGGTACTCTTAGTTGTGCAAACTGCAATCCTGAGAAAGGAGAGGGCAATTGGTCAGGCATTGATGCTAGAACTATTATCACTGGAGCCTCCACTCCAGGCGAGTCATAAGAACTTCAAAGTAGCAATTTCAGATCCCCATTTCTGGAATTTCTTGCTGCAGCTATGAAACTGGAATTCTGAAATGGAACAGATGGTAATTGTATTCAGTTCAGCAATGAGAACTACGTAGTGAATTTTATTCCAAGTATGATCATAAATTACTTCTGATTAAACTTCAGGTCTGACAGTTGCCTGTAAGGTAAACAAAAGCTAGGCTCTAAATTAAATAAAGCAAACTCATTCCTTTGGAAACACTTTAATATACAATACTATACAGTAAAAAACAAAGAAAATAATAAAGCTAAAAGTAGAAAAATACACTGTAAAACAATTATATTTTGTTTTTTAGGCATCTCAGGAATATATTCATATTTTCTCTATAAACCATTTTAACAACTTGTGGCATTTTATGGAATAGGAAAGCAGAGCTGGGAGCAAGGTTCTTTTAGAATTGTCTGTTACTGACTTAATCCTTACAGTGCAGCTGGCATTTTAGATTTCTGAAGAGCAGGTAGTTCAACAAGGTTTAGAAAACAAATAATATAGGCTGCCCCTCCTCAAGTGAATATTTTAATTATTAAAGACTCAGTGAATTTATTTTAATTCTAAATGATAAGGCAAATTTAGCTGAATTGTTCATGATACTTTAGAACAGAGGCATAACATGATTCTAAGTTCTATTTATTCAATACCATTAGCAAGATCAAAAGGTGAAATCAATGGTCACTAAAATGGGAATATCTGTCTAATAAATATTTTAATAATAAAAATAGAATGCACATTCCACGTTATTGTGGTGCATTAACTAAACCAGCATTCATGCTGCATCTTTTTCAGATAAACAGAAAGGTTAAGTTTATGCAGACAGAACTATCAATGACCAGCAGGGGGTGCTGATCTAAAAAGAAATTATGCTAACAATAGCAATTCCTTGTCCATGTAAGATTTTATACACACACATACACACATATACAAACACAAAATCATTTGGTCAAAGTTTCATTCCCAAAGGAAAAAAAGGAGTAAATGCAGCATGCCCTCAACTATAGTCAGGATAGAAAGCTGTTCTTTAAGGGCAGCCTTTTCCAGATTTAGGTACAATACAGCCAGTTTTTTGTGTAAAAAAGCTAGGGAGCAGTTACCTAGTGGCAGAAAATCAGTTTTTGGAAGATAACATAATTGTATTTTTCAACCAAGATTAATTCATGAACATGTATTCCAGGTTTTGTTAATTTCCAAATTAATTACATGTACGCCGAGTATCTTCATACGTACGGCAGATACATAATTTACCCCAGCTAGAAGATTTTCATAGGATTTTAAAAACATAGGACTCTGTTCTTTCCCTCATTTTGAACATGGAAGCAGAAATCATATTTACAATTTTGCATGGGTTACACTAGACAATACTTTTATGTCTAATTACAAAAATTGTCCTTCCTGGAAAGTAACATGTATCATACACCAGAATGTTTATGAGAGTGACGGTTCTCTCTCTTCTGCATGTAGATTGAATCATTCCAGTTGGCACTTCCAGATTACAGAAATACAAACTCAAAACAGCCACTAAAGTGTTATCACTGTTCCATCCTCTTCAACGCCTCCTTTGGGAATAACTAAACTATGACGAGGATCAGTTTTTAAGGAACTAAGGATTTTGTGAATATTGCCGTTGCTTTCTCGTCCAAAACTGTTGTTGAGTCCTAGTTCTCTCTGTAGTCTGTGGCTAAGACTGTTGCCATTGATTCGGGAAAGGCTACTAGAAGGAAGACTGTGAGATTTTGGAATGGGCTGTGGTTCCAGGCAGCCCTCAATTACAATGTCAGTATCCTCATCACTCTCCATTTCATCAGGGTGGAAGTTCTGCAGGACATGAGAAGAAGGCAAACTGTGATGGCTGGCAGTGCTGTCTGTAGACTGACCAGAGCTCCCAGACATCCGACTGCTTCTGATAATATTGTTCCTTTGATTTGCTGGCTTGACTGTGATGATAAGATTATGGCTATTGGCAATCATCATGTCCGTCACCTGATCAAGGGTTTTTCCTGCCACTTCTATACCATTCACTTCCAGGACTTCATCATTGACAGCAAGCAAGCCTGTACTTTCAGCTAAGCCCCCAGGAACCATCCGTGAGATGAAAATGCCAGGAACTTTTTCCAACCCATGAGGAGTCACTCTTACACTGGTCCCATCCCGAATATAGAATCCAAGTGGTTTCTCACACCCGTGTCGATACAGTCGTACTCTTCTATGAGTTTCAGGTAGAATATCCACATCAATGATGGAAGACACTGGTCTAAAGTCCTGAGGCATGCTGATATTAACATGGGGGCGCCGGCGAAGGTTGTCATTCCGGAGGGTCACCAGAGCTTTCTTTTTCCTTGTTAAGGTGTTTGAACCAAAGTTTCCATAATCTGCTTCATCTGCAAAGAGAGAGGGAAACATTAATTCCTCAGACTAAACCATCCATAGGCCATTTTCTGCAAGAAAAAGACCCTTATCTCCAGCTTTCATGATATACCAACATTTAAATATGGTTGAAACATTGCTGTGAGACTGTCAAGTTAAAGACTGTTTTACTAATAAACTGTATTTTGAAATATTGGAAGAAATGCCTAGACTACAGGTTGGACAAAGAAAAAAGTGGCAGACTGATCTTAGGATGAATATGAATTTGTTTGCTGACAGCACAGAGCTTGTTTGCTAGAAGAAGACACTCAAAATGAAATGCCATTTGTGGCTACTGTGAAGAGAAAACTGGAAAAACAGCCACACAGGCATTTCTGGCAGTTTACCACTTCTTCAAAGCCATCTATGAAGCAACTAGCCAAGGCTACAAGATTATCTTTTAAAAGATTGCTGGCAAGTAACTGATTAGCAGGACTAGACTGATTGACTACTAGTCATCTTTCATTAATCAACAATATATGAAGTTGTAAATTGCACCAGAGCACTGTTGCTTTTAATGTACTAGCTTTTCATCTCTAATGGCCTAAAGCCATATTTCAAACCCGTATGTAGCTATGAAAAAGCAAGTCAAGGAACATCCGTATCTGCTCTCCTCACTGTATGCTTCATCTCTCTCAGGGAATGTAGTCCCTAATGGCTTTGCTTGCTATAGATTATTCTAAGGAACATGCTACTGTGTAACTTAAAATACATAAACATCTTCGTAAAGTCCTGTGTTAACGCTGTTGTGGTCTAAGTTGTAAAATATGCATGTGTAGGCAGACAAAAGCATATTTTAAAGGAGCCCCGGCAACCTGTTGCTTGTAAATATGGGAAAGACACGTAATTGCTGCTGTGGAATGTGTGAAGCATCCCTTATTCTATTGTCTTTAATTAAACCCTCATTCTAGACAAAAATAGCCCATTTTTTTCCACACCAGATCATCCTACAAATGCAGCTGCAGATGAATAAGTCACCAAGAAGCTTCAAAAGAGGCCTCAAACAGAACAACACTTCAAACTGACGACGAATAAAGCAATGGATGGGCCTGACATTTCAGTCTGATAGCACAAACTAGACAGAACAATGTTAGTTCCATCCCCACAAACTCCATAGTGCAAAACTGAAAGAGTTTCCTTTTGCGAACATTTTCTCCAAAGATAACCAAAGACAATTTTGGCCTCCTGGAAGAAAATATTCCCTCAATGTTTAGAAACTGTGGAATGGAGAACCAGAGATGCAGGTAGCTTTTCTGTACTCACTTTATTAACATCAGGCAGGAAATCAATATGCACAATCACTTAAGAGACCCAAACATATTACTCATGATCTAGCATGCCACTAGCAAGCTATCAGGGCAAGAAACACTGGCTAAGTAAACTTAATGTAGCTTTACATAAATTATTTGAAGGGATCACCAAGACACAGAAAGGATTTGTGCAAATGAGAAGACTTCTGGTAAGCCATCTTTTAAAATTAAAGGTGCACAACTTGTAGGCACCCCCATATTACTGAGTATGGTTTCCTAAGCATCTCCAAAAATTCCTGCCTAGTTGTAATCTTTAATATGGCAGAATTGGAAAATGTATTAAACACATGATGCATAATCATATTAAACATTATTAAATGTTAAATACAGTTAATTAAATCAAACATTTGTATTGGTGCTAGTCATTTTTTCGAATGCAGCCCCAAATATATCTTTCAAAGACTAAATTTGGCTCTCAACTCCAAGTTTTGCTTATTAAACAAGAAAAGAGGTGCTCATTATCAGTTACAAATGGTCTCACACACAGAAAATGAAGGAAATTAGCCACCAATTGGTCTAAGCTATGAGGCAGCAACCTGCATATTCACCGTAAGGTGCAATAGGGTGAATATACATATGCAAAAAATAACCCAATGCAACCCTCTCTCTTGACAAGAACAAAGCTGAGAAAGATGGTCCCCTCCCACCCCCCAGGAATCTGAGAGCAGAATGTATGCAGATCCCTGGCAAGTATGGCAGAGGTTTCCCGTTGCTGCACCTTAGCTTTCTTGAGGCCAGAGCCAAGATGAATGCCAGGACAAGTTAAAGCAACTCGCTCTGAAGGTGGGGCTGATGAATTGTTGACTACTTGCTAAACTGCTGTGATTTTGAGATCCAGTTAAGCAACTGTGAGGTTAGGCCACATCTATATTGCCTCCTGCATTGCTCATAATGTCCACTGAAAGATACTTCTTTTTGGAAAAGAAATGCTACTTATGTTATCCTCCAGACCTCCTGAGTTAGATTTTGCCCATCTCTGAGACATTCTTTTAAAAATGAAGAAGAAACCTCCAAATTAAAATAGCCTTAATGCATTTGAATAAATTCAAGATAGGGACTAGACCAACTGTTTATATTCCAAGATTTCTCAAAGGTGGAGGAATGGATGTTACATAAACCCCATCTTTACTTCCCTGGAAAGCTTTGCATTGAATGGGGTTTCTAAGCACACTCAGGGAACCAGAGGGTTTACTCACTGATCACAGACAGCATCAGTTGAAGAGAGCATATGTTTCTGAATTTATATCCCCAGAAAGCTATGAGTGTTACAAAAGTAATATAGAACCTTTTCACAACTAGGATTTCTTTTGGCTCCCATTTTGTATCTTATATTCTGATTATTACACAAGTTTTTTTCCTTATCCCAATAAAATCTGGAATACACTAGTGCAAATATTTTTAAAAAAACTTAAACTTTCTGGTAGTCCCTGAATGTTCCATAACTTTTTCCCTTTTCCTAGTCTGGTGCTATTGAGCTCTATCGAGATACGACATCAACCCAATGCAAGGAAAGTTGCTCTAGGTGCCATTTTCATTTTACATGTGGCCTAAATGTAAATACTGAAATCTGTGAGAGGAACGTAAACATTTACAGTCTGAACTTAAAAGAGAAGGGGAAGAGAAAAATAAGAAAATATTTCCAGAAAAACTGACTTTTTAAAAACACGACACACACGCACACCCACAGAGAGAGAGACAAATCCTTAATACCAGAAGCACTCCTCCTCTTGCTTGGACAGCTGCTTTTCACAAGAATTGCCTGCCAGACAAAATACCAAAGTTTGGCCAGATAAGAATAGGTAAACAAGCAAGATTCCACAGAGAATCAGACTGCTAGGCTCATATAGGAAGAATTTGCTTTGGACCTGGTATTTTCAGTCCACGCACACTCCTGGTGTATTATTTCCTCTGGATATGGTGCAATATCACTTGACAGCTTGGAAACTACATCAGAAGCAGAGATATTTCCACAAGGGGAGTAACTTGTTTCATGCAGCTTTAAGAATGAAACCAACAAGTCTTTAGGGACCACGGGATGCCCTCAACCCCATATTGTCATTTTCTGAATGCAACCATCAACATAAATAACTCAATGCCTCTTATTTTGATCAGTCACATGCTTCCATAGAAATAAACACAATGTTTTTATACAATGATAACATTTGGCAGGGGAGTTATTCCATCATTTGTCATAAAATGTTGGAAAAGTCAGAGATACAGAATTGTTTAAAGGAAACAGATATATAGTGAACTTTGACTTAGGTAGCTTCCTTTGCCCAGCATAGATGTAAGCAAGAAAGAAACACAAAGTAACATCCATCCAAGCCTATTTATGCTGACCAGGTTTACCAGTTGAACAAGAAGCTCTAAAGAAACAGGCTTACATTTTACCAAAAGCAAAAAGAGAGCCATGTTGGCACATACTGGAGAAAAAAAATGTGGAAGCCTTTGAATTCTTCAGAAATCTTAACCTACAAAAGAAGGGGGAAAAAGTTGGGGGGGGGAGAAAATCTAGTCAAATCTCTCCCAGTTCAGTCTTATACCTAAATCCCACTGAAATCATCAACAAATCCTAAACAAAGAAACAAGCAGACCAGGCAACCAGCAGCAGCTGACATCCAAACTTGCAATTGCTGGCTCACCTGCTCTTACATTTAATCATAAGCACTTTCCTCTCTGGATGCATGTTCATTCTTAACAGTTTCCTCTTTTCTCCTTAGCTCCCAAGCTCCTGGAGTGTGCTTCCTCCTTTTTTGTACAGTCTTGACTTTACCTTCTCTTCAGTGTCCCACTGAAATCACCTTCACTTAAATTTCATGAGAAATCTTTCTCTGCCAAGTCCAAAGACCTCAGCTTTGACCTCAATTTCCTTGATTGTCCTGCTGCCTTTGATTTCTCTTCAGACTGATCCTCTATATTTATGTACTTGGAGTTTCCTTGGAATCTGTTTGTGAGCCCTTTATTCCCACCCACATGTTAAATGTTGAGTGATTTGTATACAGATGACATCCAACTCCTCTTTGTGCCCTAGATCTCCCATTCCCACACAATCCTGGATCTTCACTAGCCAGATTTATCTGCTTGGTTTTTCAAACATGGTCAGACTCAACATTTTAAAAACCAAATGTTTTACATTTAATCCCAAGCTACCTTTCTTAGTATGTTTTAGTATCCACTGACAATGAAGTCTTGGTTCCTCTTTATTCTACATGTCCAGGCTGCTCTCAAGTTCTGTTACCTCTTTGGTAAATACTATGAATATAAAGCCCTTCTGCTCCACTCTCTTTGCCAAAAAAACCCCCTTCTGGTCCAGCTTGTCTGGCATCTCCTGTATAGACTATTAGTCTTCTCCTCTCTTCTGTTCTATTATCATTTCTCAGTCCTCTCACTGTTTCCTAGCATGCTACTGTCAAATCATTTAATCTATCTGTTTCTGGTTTATTGTCCATGCTGGCTAGGGGATTCTGGGAATTATCACTCCACATTTGGTTATTACAAGACTAATGTCAATCAAGAATATCTCATTGCTTGGGGCTGAAAGCCAGATTGGTCCTTTGAGTTACATGCCTGCCATGAACTGTTTTCCCCAAAAGACAGGGCAAAACCTGTATTTTAATTTATTTTAATTAAAACTAAAATTAAAAATGTTAAGATGATTATTCCCCATGTCTTTAATTTTCTCCATCTCTTGCATTAAACATTCCAATGTATTTTCAACTGATAAAGGGGCTCTGTGGGGTGGCAGTTAAGGCTTTTCGGGGCAAACACAGCTCAACAATCTCAGGTCATTCGCCTTGGACTAATTATTTAGCCTTTATGTTGGCTTTGCGGTTACTCCTTGTGCTAATTCAAATTTGCCCTTCCTTGGCCTTCTCTATTCTTTATCCCTACCCTTGAATCTACCCTTGCAGATTCCAAGACTTCCTGTACTTTAACCTTTGCTCATCACTTGCTGCCTCTTAAGAGATTATTTAAAGGTAACTTGACAAGGAGGGTGTTTTGAAGCCAAAATGGGAAAGATTCATACTCCAAAGAGATTTTCCAAAAAGATTAACATGTGAATTCTTGTCCCAAGGAGCACTGCTTTTAACTGGAGAGTCTACCCTTCAAGGCAACAGCTTTTGTTTTCTTTTAATAACCCACACAATTGCAGTATTATTTACTGCACGCCTACACATTCCAGGCCCCTTCATGGATCACTGCCTTGTCGTGGCGAAGGGGCTTGCGTAACTCAGTGAAGCCATGAGC